TGGTAAGACCAGCTGGAAGGCATTTTTGCACAAGTTCGTTAGGTTATCTCGCAGCCAGCTGTGGACAGAGGAGGAGCAGCACGACCAGTTTTGTTTTTCCCTTGAAGGAGCAGCAAGATTATAAGATGAAAGCCTAATTCGACTAACTTGAAATGGAGCTGTGCAGTTTTAAACTGACGAAAACTACACGCCGCATTTTCGTTTCACGGGGGAGGGGGATATTTTCCATTTTCCACTGTATTATATAGCGGAAAACATGTTTTAACAGAATTACAGAGTAATCTCTTCTTCTTTCCAAATAATTATTGTTTTGAAACTTCGTTTATTCATATATATCATTCAGATATGCCTTTTGAAAATTGAGGTACATGTAAGTGACAAAACAGTTCTGAATACATGGTATATAAATCTCGGTGTTCGACATTTTAGCGGGGAAAAATGGACGTTTTATAGCGAAAAATGTGACATTTAAGCGGAAATTAAAATACATATGGACATCAACAAATTGTTAAGTAAAATATAATTATATCTATGCCTCTTCCAGTAGCCAGTCGGGCTAAGTTTTCTGCCCCCTGCGGGGGGAGGGGGTAGAATTTTGCGCAGACTTAACAATACTATTCATTTCTCAGGATTGTAAAATACAAATCTGTATCTGTATTACATTTCCTCTTCAAAGTTATTATTACAAATGCTGATACCTGCACTTACCTGTATAAATAAAAATGAGTTGAGTTTTATTCAATAGTTTTTAGCTGTGCCGTCGAAACGTTTGCTAGAGTCGAGAACTTAGAAATTTTAAAGTTCGTCATATTTTGCTGGCATTACATTGATTGTTTAAAAAATAAATTTTATCCGAGAAAAAAAAAATACACAAATTTTTTTATTGAATTATTACAGGAAATTGTTTTTCTTCATATTAATTGCATTATAATTTTTCCGCTGAAATTAATGTCTATTCACACCTTTGGAGGTCCTTCGCCCACACATCTCCTATAATGTTCATTTATGTATTGTGATTTAATTATATACGAATACTTGGCTTTACAAAAACACAATGGGTGTTTGAAAAAATATATATAAAGATATTAAAATATTATCCAATAATTTTTTTAATCCTAAATATAATTCATCTATTAGCATTACCAGCTGACCAGGGTGCCCTTTGCATAAACTCATTTCAAATTGCGGAAATGACACAGCGATTCGCATGACTGCATATTGTATCGATAGAAGGGAGTCATAAAACAACATGATGGGGTATATCAATGTAAACAAGTTTCACACCTTTGCGTTCTGTTGTTTACAAAGAAACAACAATTACGTATAATTCCATGTATTATAGTATTGGTACATGTATTATAGTATTGGTACATGTATTAAGACCATATTTTGGGACTACTTCTAAATCGATATACGTTTAAATCCTGCTGCATCGTATAACCCGTTAAGAGAAAGAAAAAATTCAAATCACTTGTAAATATTAATTATAAATAAAGTTTTTAAAAGAGTGCTTGGATGCCCGGAACGTTTATTATGGCCGGAACCAAACTTACGCGGGTCGGAACGTTTATTATAGCCCGGAACCAATATTATAGGTATTTAGCGTTCCGGCCGAAACGCTAAGTTACCCGGAACGTAAATTATGCGACACCGGACAACCCTCGTATAAAGAGTTTATAACAAAACAACTGTGTAAGATGATAATTTCTACATTTCAAACCTCACACATAAATACATGTAGTTATAGCATTCACAGTTTTGTGTTTCATTTGATAAAAAAAAATTGATTTCAGAGAGTTATAAAGATGCGGTGCCAAATGTCTCTGTCACGAAAGATCACCGACCTTTTCAAATAAATAAGTTCATTCACTGATCAAATCTTAAGGAATCTGTCTTAAAGTTCGGTCTCAATTTCCATGTGAGACTACCGAGCACGTGTCACATTCTTTGCTAATAAGAAAAGGCCATCCAAGCGGCTTATTTTCGTTATAAATAGTTATTATGAAGTGAATACTGATTAGAGAATGAGACAATGTTTAAAACAAGAGGCCCATGGGCCACATCGCTCACCTGAGCACATTGGCAAGGGGGGGGGGGCTTGAATTTTAAACTACCTGATGATGCTTCCATGTCAATATATAATTTGTTTTAACAAATGGCTTTGTTGTACTTGAGAAGATTTTAAAAAAAAATTCCCATATATTCTTCTGTAAAAATTTGATCCCCCATTGTGGCTCCTCCCTATCCCAGGGGTCATCATTTGAACAAACTTGAATCTACACTACCTGAGGATGCTTCCATATCAATATGACTAAACATAGCTTTTCTGTTCTTGAGAAGAAATTTTTTCTATATGTTCCTATGTAAAACTTTTGATCCCCTTATTGGGCCCCACCTACCCTCGGGGGTCATCATTTGAACAAAATTGAATTTACACTACCTGAGGATGCTTCCATATAAATATGACTCATCATGGCTTTGCAGTTCTTCATCAGAACATATCTTCCTACATATTTCTATTTCAGACTTTTATCCTCCATTGTGGCCCCGCCCTACCCCCAGAGGTCATGATTTGAACAAACTTGAATCTACACTACCTGAGGATACTTCCACATAAATATGATCAATCAGGGCTTTGCTGTTCCTGAGAAGAAGATATTTAAAGATTTTTCCTATATATTTCTATGTAAAACTTTGATCCTCCATTGTGGCCCCGCCCTACCCCCGGGGGTCATGATTTGAACAAACTTGAATCTACACTACCTGAGGATGCTTTCATATAAATATGACCAATTAGGGCTTTGCTGTTATTGAGAAGAAGATTTTTAAAGATTTTTCCTATATATTTCTATGTAAAACTTTGATCTTCCATTGTGGCCCCGCCCTACCCCCAGGGGTCATGATGTGGACAAATTTGAATCTACACTACCTGAGGATGCTGCAATATAAATATGACCAATAAGGGCTTTGCTGTTATTGAGAAGAAGATTTTTAAAGGTTTTTCCTATACATTTCTATGTACATGTAAAACTTTGATCCTCCATTGTGGCCCCGCCCTACCCCCGGGAGTCATGATTTGAACAAACTTGAATCTACACTACCTGAGGATGCTTCCATATAAATATGACTCATCATGGCTTTGCTGTTATTGAGAAGAAGATTTTTAAAGATTTTTCCTATATATTTCTATGTAAAACTTTGATCCTCCATTGTGGCCCCGCCCTACCCCCGGGGGTCATGATTTGAACAAACTTGAATCTACACTACCTGAGAATGCTTTCATATAAATATGACTCATCATGGCTTTGTTGTTCTTGAGAAGAAGATTTTTAAAGGTTTTTCCTATATATTTCTATGTAAAACTTTGATCCTCCACTGTGGCCCCGTCCTACCCCCGGGGGTCATGATTTGAACAAACTTGAATCTACACTACCTGAGGATACTTCCACATAAATATAATCAATCAGGGCTTTGCTGTTCCTGAGAAGAAGATTTTTAAAGATTTTTCCTATATATTTCAATGTAAAACTTTGATCCTCCATTGTGGCCCCGCCCTACCCCCGGGGGTCATGATTTGAACAAACTTGAATCTACACTACCTGAGGATGCTTTCATATAAATATGACCAATTAGGGCTTTGCTGTTATTGAGAAGAAGATTTTTAAAGATTTTTCCTATATATTTCTATGTAAAACTTTGATCTTCCATTGTGGCCCCGCCCTACCCCCAGGGGTCATGATTTGGACAAATTTGAATCTACACTACCTGAGGATGCTGCAATATAAATATGACCAATAAGGGCTTTGCTGTTATTGAGAAGAAGATTTTTAAAGGTTTTTCCTATATATTTCTATGTACATGTAAAACTTTGATCCTCCATTGTGGCCCCGCCCTACCCCCGGGGATCATGATTTGAACAAACTTGAATCTACACTACCTGAGGATGCTTCCATATAAATATGACTCATCATGGCTTTGCTGTTATTGAGAAGAAGATTTTTAAAGGTTTTTCCTATATATTTCTATGTAAAACTTTGATCCTCCATTGTGGCCCCGCCCTACCCCCGGGGATCATGATTTGAACAAACTTGAATCTACACTACCTGAGGATGCTTCCATATAAAAATGACTCATCATGGCTTTGCTGTTCTTGAGAAGAAGATTTTTAAAGGTTTTTCCTATATATTTCTATGTAAAACTTTGATCCTCCACTGTGGCCCCGCCCTACCCCCGGGGGTCATGATTTGAACAAACTTGAATCTACACTACCTGAGGATGCTTCCACATAAGTTTCATCTTCCCTGGCTTTGAGGTTCTTGAGAAGAAGATTTTTAAAAGATGCTACTAATTTTTCACCAATTCTTCATTATCTCCCCTTGAATGAGGGTGTGGCCCTTCATTTGAACAAACTTGAATCCCCTTCACCCAAGGATACTTTGTGGCAAGTTTGGTTGAAATTGGCACAGTGGTTCTTGAGAAGAAGTCGAAAATGTGAAAAGTTTACAGACGGACGGACGGACAGACAGACAGACAGACAGACAGACAGACGGACAGACGGACAGACGGACTACAGACAAAATGTGATCAGAAAAGCTCACTTGAGCCTTCGGCTCAGGTGAGCTAAAAATATGGTCATCTACACAACGTCCCTTTTAGTTTTGTAAGTCATTTAGGTAACATCATAAGAGGATAGTTCTGAATCCGAAGCTCTATAAACCAGATTATATTTCATCGACGCATAAGAATTAAGACGTGTCTACAACATAAGGCTTGTATATCAAATATCGTAAGTAAGTAAGAATTTATCAACCTATTCAAGAGATTCTAAAAAGTAGATACATTATAATAGTGAAAGTATAGCTTTACAATATACAAAGTATACTTTTGTCTTTATGGATAAAGAAAATGATTTGTGCAGCTTAAATTGAGTAAATAATGCTAATACGTATTTCATTATCATTCTGTCCTTGTATAAATACTTGTATTTTGCTAAAATATACCTTGTATTTTGCTATTTCAGAAAACTCGGAGAATTCGTGAAGGCTGGCCAATGAACGATTGGATTTCTCCGAGGTTTTCACCAAATCAGGTTTGTCAAGAAATGGACCACTGTTAATCTACAAATAAAGTAAACAGAGTTTAACATGATTAAGGTTTAATATCCAGGGTAAATATTTAAAACAACATTGTATTTATAGAGGATATTCAATGTTTTATTAAGAATGAAGGAATATCATTTTTATTCAATAAATCACAAAATTTCACTGTTGAAAATGTAATAAACGTATTTAGTTTCAAAATAACAACTTCGCTTTGGTACACATGTACACAAGAAGCTATTGATGATTTCTGGGTTTAATACAATTTACTCCGAGGACGTTCTGTTCTTATTGTCCACTAAGCCTCTACAATTCAATTCTGCTGCTGAATGTATTGCTAAATGACATACACAATTATATTGACGATAACCACCAACTCTTGTCCAATACCCCGACTTGACCAATGATGGAATAAAATGAATTACCGTTTATAAATAAATACTTGCTTTGACAGATTTTGCCTCTTTTTTATGCAGATAGGTAAGGTCGTCCGTTTCAAGAAGAATCTTATTAGGTCCTTTGGTCATGTTGATCTTTCTTTGCTTTTTCCTGAAAGTACAAGTATGAATGCAAAACACGGGTTTTTTTTTAAGATTTTGTTGCGTTTCCGTGATATTGTATTCTTAAGTTGTCAACGATAATTATAAAGATCCAGAAAAGCAAGATGCTGTTTCTGATTAAGTAACAAAAATGCACACGTCAATTAAAAAATAATGCGTCCTCCATTCATAAAATACCAATTCCTTGTGAGTTGTGTATGGATATATTACGTATCTTTTAAAATCAATATACTATATCATCTCATGAAGCAAAACAATTTAAATTCTTACCAAAGCACAATAAGTATAAATGATCCTACTCCTACAATAACTAGTAAGGTAACTGGAACAGCCACGGCAACAGCGAGATTTATTTCTGAAATAAAAAAAGCAAAATACTTTTTTTGCACAATAAAATTAATGACTTAAATACAGAAGACATGTTTTTGGACTCTTTGGTAGACATATGAAAGTTAAAGAAAATAATTCTGTAATGTGTGCTGTGCAAAATTTCGAAGAATTGAAGTGGCAAGAAATGACATTATGGACATAGGAATTTTCTTTTCGATAAAATTCACAAAACATTGTGTGTCCATCTTCTGAGGATTGTAATTAAAAGCAACAATTCAAACATTTCAAGACAATTTAACTACATGTATCAAAACGTTTTTCGACTTATGCAACTCGTGTATATATTCGTAATATAACTGTTTGTTTTTAATTGTATGTCCCAACTGGTCAATCTCTATTTAAGTGTGGCAAACTACTATCTGTACTTATTGTCAAAATAAACTGACTGGATGTTAAATATATCAACCAGTACTAAGTCTTTGCATTTGCATAGATTTACATTGTGGTCATGTTGAATATCTAAGCACTGCTTGGGAACATTGGTCTAACTTAGTTTTATTTGCATCTATAGCTGTTCAGGACTTGGTAAATCTATTGGCAATTTGTTATGCATATTATTTCGTTCCGATTTTATGGTGTTTTAGTACGGTTTTTTTTTTGCCAAGTTTTCATAATATCGAAGGGAAGATTTTAAAAATATAACTTTTCCTTTCTATACTTAGCAAAATTCTTTTGAAATTCCTCATAAAATTATTTTTACGGAACTTTGGTTTTGAAAGCATATCGTTGTGTGAACACTGTACACATTAAATGATTTTTATGGTGCAATTAAATGAATTTGCACTGGAAATCCATCATCATAAAATGAAAGACATGCATCAGTTATCAACTTAGATAATTAACACCTTCTTAATATACTTGATCCCTTTTTGTTGTCTTCATACTATTACTTTACTGAAACTAAACAACTATAGTGTATAAAAAGTTTAATATTGAAATCATATAGCGAGTATACTTCAAAGAAAATCTCATCAGAAGTCTGTGTTTGAAACCGTTTGATAACGTTTATTTTTCATGTGATAAAGAAAACTATTTGGTTAGGGTTACAATCATGCGTGCAGAGAACAGGAATATTTTTAGCAGATTAAATTGTAATATGCTTTAGGAAGGGCTTTTTGTATCCAAGTGTGTACTACACGATTTTGTTACAAGACGAAATGATACACCTGAAAAAATGTATTTGCATTCTATATTTTAGGAATGAATGTCTATTTTTATGATATTTATGAGGTTTTAACTTATACTGAAACATCTATTTATGCAAGAAGTACCACCTTTTCCCAGGTTACTTATCCTCCTTATGACCCATTAAAAGTAGACACTCTTAGCAAATTTATCATATGACTTCAAATATTTATAAGAAAAAATATCTGGTAGTGTTGATGTGTGCACCTTTTATTTCCCATGCAATGACGACTTTTTGATGAAACATTAGAAATTTGAATCAACAACTTTTTACAAAGTCGAAAAATATATGGAGTTTCATTAACAGTTGTAAATGATCATGATTTTTCATGGAAAATCTATTCATTAATATTTTTATGGCCCATAAGCAATATACAACAAAAACACTGCTAGACCATAAACATCTTTATTTCATCATTGTCGCTGGTTCTGAGGGATAGGACTCACTTATTTGCAAATAATTTCCTAAATCTGTTTCTAAAAATCCATTTGATTAAATACGATTTATGAAGAAAATATATATTATTGGTATTTAGCCTGTCATTTTCAGTGATAGCACAGACAATTAAGACAGCTATTGCATGTCTGCTTTTACTTAAATTGAGAGCGAAAGAAAATGAAAATGACGCAGTAAACCTGAGGGATAAATCTTCATGCAAGCGGCTACTTTATACAGATTAGTGTAATGTTCACAAAAGAGAACAAAACCTTTAAATTGATTGCGTTTTGCAAGATGCTCTCATTAACTGCACTTCATGCTATTCAATATTCTCGTCCTTTTCTTCTGACTTTTCCCTTCCAGTTTTTAGTGTCCATCCATTTTTTGTTTTATTTATATAAAATATTGCTTCCGTATTAACTAATTCAGGACACACAAAACTTACATTTTATATCGATTATGTCAAACTGTAAACTAGAGTAATATTTTTGCAATAGTAATACTTTTATAATACAGAAAGACTGCTCAAAACAATCACCCAATCTGTCTGTTTTAACACTTTTGTATCCGTGCGATAATTCGAGAAGCCTTTGAGCTTTTGCAGTGAAAATTTATATCACAACTATCTATGGCCTAAGATCAAGGTCTTAAATTCGTACGTTTAGTCTGTGTGTAAAACTTTCATTTCCGGACGACATTGAAATTTTATACCATAACTCTCTATAGTCCTGCCCGCCCTTCTTAATATGTCCCCCCTTTAAGATCCGCGCATGCTCATCTTTTTTTCCTAATCCCGGGGGGTAGGGGCACATTTTCTAAATTAGCTTGTTTTTTTTTATTTTTTACGCTGAACCCCTCTTAGATATCAGGCCTAAAATATCATTTACCTACTTCATGCCACCGAAATGTGTCATCATATTTTGTTTCAGTAGATATTTCTTTCTTTAATCGTGCTATTCAATTGTCCATGCATTTGACTATAATCCGGCCATTCAACGTCAAACGTGAAAAGTGCTACAACATTTGGAACTGCCAAAGTAGAAATTACGGAAGTGATGCGAAAATGACACCTAACGGATAACTCTCGAGTTCCGAGTTTTATGGAAATCAAGGTCTACGAAAAAGTTCGGGAAATTTCGATACAGAAGCCGAAATATTGATTCATAAGAATTATATTTTGCAGGGAGAAGGGGTCCTGTCCACAAGCACCTGTGATTTTCACCTAATTTTTATGGTTTAGGTCTCCCTTTTGCCATGTCGTCAAATTAATTACGCTGCACTGCAGCATATAACGCCGTTAAAAATAGTACGTAATGAAATAAAAAAGTGTCCTTTTCAAGGATTTGAATATCTGTTGTTTCAATGATTTTATCAATTTAAAATTCTACCTCGAATTTTATGTTAACAAATGTACACAGATTACTCCAACTGTAGTTGTAGTATGTCTTTTATTACGTATTCTATGTGTACGGCAAACTGGTCAACCAGCAAGTTGGTTACAAGAAATAGAAACCTATAAATTAACAGTTACTCATAGAGCAGGAAGGAAGCACTCAAATACAGATGCTTTATCTAGAAGGCTATGTTGGTCATGTGAACGACAAGAGCAAAGAAATATGCGTAGTGACAGTGAATATGAAGCAAGTGAGGTTAATCCAGAAATACAAGTATGCGCAGTAGCCGGAAGTGATGCATTAAATAATATGATTTCGCCTCATAGTGGATTAGTCCTAGATGGTTGGCAGCTCGACTCGATCCATCAGTCACAGCTAGATGACAAAGAAATTTCACCATTACCTTTGGCAAAACAGTCCAATGAGCCTAGACCAGCCTGGAATCAAGTCTCAAATAGCTCCGGTATAATGAAAACCATTTGGAGGATGTGGGATATACTGTTGGATGTTATACTATACCGACGTTTCATTCATGATGATGGTCAAACTTGTCATCTTCAACTTATTGTTACCAGTCATGGTACATGTAGTCTAGTGGTAGGGCGTTCTCTTCGTGATCGGGAGGCCTGGGTTCGATTCTCCTTCGTGCGCCGCGTCAAACCTAAGACATAGATATTGGTAGTGACTGTTCCTACGCCAAGCGCTCGGCACTAGAAGTGAAAGTTACAAGTCTTTCGCATGAGACCTTAAAAAGCGAGGTACCGTGTCACAGTAGGCGTTAGCACGATAAAGTACCCGTACTGCTCAATGACCCGTAGTGCCGAGTATAGGTCCAAATTTGAAGCCCTTCAACGGGATATAGTGACGTCTCTATATGAGTGAAATTTCTCGAATGGGACGTAACCAATATACTATCAATCAACTTATTGTTCCTACATCTCTGCGAAGTCAAGTGCTGAAGCATTTTCATAATCTTCCTTTAGGAGGCCACTTAGGTGCAGAGAAGACCCTTGACAAAATAAGACATTCGATGTACTGGTCCAAAATGAAAATGGACATGGAGAACTATTGTTCACAATGTGATCTCTGTGCAGCAAAGAAACCCTCTAGGACTTCCTAGAGTTTTTTTTTACATCAGTATTTGTTTGGAGAACCTATGGAACGGGTAGCTGTTGATATCCTTGGCCTCCTCCTCTTACAGAGAATGGCAATAGGTATATTTTAGTGATATGTGACTGCTTAGTAAATGGACTGAGTCATTTGCCATGCCAGACCTAGTATAAAGCACAATAGCAAAAGTCCTTGTAAATGAGTTTATTTGCAGGTTTCTTACCCCCCCCCCCCCTCTTTCAACTCCATTCTGATCAGGGGAGGTCATTTGAAACTAACCTATTTAAAGACATTTTGTCAATGTTTCGGGTCGAGAAAACAAGAACTACCAGTCAGCGACCTCAAGCTAATGACACTATACAGCGCTTCAACAGAACTTTGGTAAGCATGCTGACCATGTACTGCGACAAGAACCAGAGGTACTGGGATAATGTTTCACCAAAGGTGATGATGGCTTACCGGTCATCTATTCACTCTAGTACTGGTTTCTCTCCAAATAGAATGATAATAGGCAGAAATATAATAATGCCCATGGAAGCTATCATCCCAAGGCCATATGAATCCAGTGATAAAGACTTCCCTGATGCAGATGATTATGTACAGAAGCTGCAAGAAAATTTGTCAAGCATTTACAAGTTTGCCAGAAAATAGCTGAAGCAAAATGCAGATTACCAGAAAAAGCCCAAGTTAGAAAATTTGAGGAAGGAGATACAGTCTGGCTGTATGATGCATCAAGAAAAATAGGAGTACGTAGCAAGTTGACATGTTAATGGTAGGGCCTAAGGTAAGTATTATAATGAAGATAGATGACATCACGTTCTTAGTCAAGAAATTTCAGAGGCAGACGGGCGAAGTATACCACATTGATAGATTACTCCATTTTAAAGGAAAGCATCCACCAAAATGGGTTAAGAAATAGAAGGAAAACTTACAGATGCAAGTATAATTATGATGCAGATGTCCATGTATTTACCAATTTTTTTTTATCCTTGAGCCGATTTAGGGAAGGGACGTGCGCAATCTAGGGCCCACATTGTTGGTTGACACAGTGATGTGAGTGACGGATGTCTGCAGTCTATGGCCCTCGCCGTTGTAAAAAGGCCACTACATCTCAGGGTGTAACCTTAGCCGCGTATATGTATGGTAGTTTTAGGGAGCTACCTGATATAGGTGACAGGGTGATCATCTAGAAGATAGCCATAGGCTGTTGAGGTAGGCAACAATGGAAGTTGCTGAGGTTTTTTTTATTATTATTTTTTTGGTTGTCTGCATCACATTTTATGATACCTACCAAAATAAAACCATTAAAGTCATTGTTAAGCATTTTTGTTGTTTCTTATTACCATTGGTCGGTGGCGTCCAATATTCCAATATCCTGTGCTTTTCTTTTTACATCCAATAGTCGCATATCCATCCCCAATTTTTATTTTCATTACATGTTTGGTCATGTTCCATGAGAGATCCCCAGTGTGTCTTATCTATATGAATATTACCAAAGTAATTATAAAATAGATACCTGCCATTACAAATTTATTTAACAAATTCCATGACTGAACTGAAAATTTTTGCCAATGCCATGCCTATATCCTGAGAACTAATGTCAAATTTTGTCCTTATAGAATGCCATTTAATTATCATCTTGAGGTTGATGGACAGTCATGCAATAAAATCTTTGAATGTAGGCGGAAGCTGAAGAAGCACCTCTCTCCGGCACCACTACGAGGATTAAAAATATGCCCTTTCTGCCTGGAAAAAGAAATTACCTTTAACCGTAGGTACATGTGATTGATTGTATGTTGTTTTACGTCCCGTTCGAGAATTTTTCACTCATATAGAGACGTCACTATATACCGGTGAAGGGCTTCAAATTTAGACCTTTACACGGCACTCAGGACCATTGAGCAGTGAGGGTTCTTTATCGTGCCAACGCCTACCGTGACACGGGGCCTCGGTTTTTACGGTCTCATCTGAAGACCCGCAACTTTCACTTCAGAGTGCCGAGCGCTTGGCGAAGGAACAGTTGCTACCTATTTTTTTTTATCGACTTAAGTCAGTTGCGGCCGTGATTCAAACATACGACCTTCCGATCACGGAGCGAGAAAAAAACTACTTTACTGAATGAAATACCGTGACGGCTGGTACACGTAACAAAGCACCATAAGGATGCTGCAGCTGGAGTTAATGTACCATTAGACGAGTTGTTTTCAGAAAACAATGCCTTTTGAATATTCTATCAGCCCGCCCATTATCGTGCCATTGTAGATCCCACAGACAAGAAAACTAGAGCCTCTATGACACTAAGGGTCATCGTCCTTGAGGCAACGAGGAAGATTTCCTTTAGACCAAGGAAGACCCGCCAGGATTGGTTGGAAGGATGGGAGGGACCAGCTACCAACTTTCAGCAAACAACACGTGCGCCACATTCCGAGTTTAGTCCCACTTTTACAAGCCTTTTTTCAGTCACTTAAATGTCCTTGGGACCTGGAGGGATATCTCCTTTCCTTGAAGATGAAAAATGTCTATTACATGTTATTCTAAATGACACCATTTTGTTCGATGCAAGGTCTACAACAAGCCTGACAACGAAGATGGCATTACAGAAGCCTTCCACACTGCCTTAACTGGACCATTTGAATTGCTGGATGGATGGCACTCTTGGGCAAAACACCTAGCTTTTGCACTTGGAGTGGACATTCAATATCTGACTGGTGTCCTCCAACAACAAGCCAAAGGTACCTAGATCCCCAGTTCCTGAAATTGAACTGTATGCAGAATCTGACTTTGATGTTGATCCTCTGAATACTGTGGATACCCCAGTAAAACCCCCACCTATAAGCCTTCAACTACACTTCTAGAACCATCTGCTTTGCCCACCCACAGCTATGAACCACAGCAAAAGATAAAACGTGGAATCACTTGTTCAGTCCAATCTTCCCAGGTCAGATGTTTCATTAGCCTTGCCAATGAGTGTGGAGACCTCTGTCGTCCCCTGCAAATCTCCTTCACGACCTGTAGGATCCTAGAGACCCCAGTCTGTTTCCTCTTCCCAAACCTCCGGTCTAGCATCCCTGGCAGAGAGAGAGCGAGAAATTTGCAAGCAAGAGGTTGCATGCCAGTACTTCCACCTGCAAGAAGACATTGGGAGAAAGAAGAAACTGGATCTGTTAGCATTACATGGCCACCCGAAGAATTCTATTCTATATCACCACACAGAAAGTTGTTGGAACTGGAATGTACAGTTTTGCTGTTAAAGAGGAGTAGACAAGATGGTGGAGAAATTTTGGACAGGGCCACTTTTATAGACGAATTTAATTATTGGCCTTTCCTGGCACTCCCACTCTATCACCTAAGACAATTAACAAGCCACAGGTTGAGAGCAGAGTCTATCTTTATCAGTCTATACGGGACATTGCAAGTAAATGGAACCTCTCAAACTTCCCAAGATGAAGCACTGTTGGAGTTCCTAGAATATGGAACCTGCAAGAGACAACACCTTTGGGATGAACTTATTGCTGCCATCGATACTGCTGGTGTCACTTTAAGACTTAGTGATTGAAGATCAGATAGTTCTCTATTTTGCAAGTTAAGACACTGTAATTCAGGAGAATGAAGATTCTTGGGTGGGGAAAGTGTAAGACCTCTATAATGTACATATAATATAAAATTTAACATCATTTAACTCTGCCATACTGTATTTATTGTGTAATTTATTACTGCATCTTTTCTAAGTCATTATTTCAATTGCTCGTGAGGCGGTTTCTGCTTGTAAGAACATGTTTATGTATTTATTCTTTTTATAGCACGTGCTGATATGTAAATAATCTATTTTCTAATTTAATTCATTACTAGTATATCATGAACTGGTTCACATACCTATAAAACTACGTTTTTTGTGATCACATGTATTCATGAAGTGGGGTGGGATATTATAACCTACATCAACTGTAATAGCGCCATTATTTGTTCTGAATATTCTTGTATACAACCCGCTACCATCTTTGTTGAAGTGACGTACATACTAGCCAGAGTTTCGCACATTGTTTTCCTATGATTTTCTAATTGACCATTATTAGAAGTAACTCAGATTACTGCTAGAAGAATTGTTAAAAGTTTTTCATTATTGTCATACAGTCATTTGTACCTTCAATAGCTTATCATTGTGTTCGTGTTTGACAATACTTAGTTGACATCGTCTGCTATACGATTCGATCTTTTTATGACAATTATATTTCTAGGAACTGAATATTTACTGACAAATTAGGATAATATCCAGCATAATCACATTAATTTAATCAATGTGTATTTGTTAAATCACGGTATGTTTTTAATTATTTATTCTATGTGTACGGCAAGATTGTTTGGCACTGTACGGCAAAACTCATGTTCTGCGGTGCCGTACATTGTCAAGATTGCTCGAGTGTCACCGTACAGTTATCTTATTGGGTAATCCCTATCACGTGGTATCTCGGAAAGTCTATATATATATATATATATATATATATATATATATATATATATATATATATATATATATATGAGTCGATTAGCCAATAATGGCAGATAATTTTGTAAGATTATCCAGCGCCAAATACGAAATTCTAAAGGCTCTTCATTTGTCCAATTTAGGTGAGAGTTCATTATGACAAATTATCTCTCAACACACCTATGTATTATTTGGAAACATTTTTGTTATATTTAATTATTTTACTATATAGATTTAACGGTCACCTTGATGCCCCTCCCCTTTTTGCCATGTTTCTTTACGGTAAACGCCACCGACCAATCTCATGTTTTATACCTGATGCTGTGTTAATAAATTATTGTTACCTTTGAGAAACTCTCGTTCTGTTTACCATACCGAAGTAAACCAGGACTGAAGTACCACCGTACTTGTGTGTGTACAGTATGATGTTATATTTTGTAACCCCCGTTAATGAAAGGCCATCCTTGGGGAGCTTATAATACGATAGATGTTAATAACTTAAATATTTCTAGAAATATTTCTAGATATTGAATCTGACATTGAAGAATATAAGTACAGTAGTATTGTTACCATCTGTTGGGGTACAGTCTTGGCCCATGAAACACGAATCTGGTTGTACAGCTTTGTCGTCTGCCCAGTCAATATCGCTAATAATCCCTTGTATCCAGCCACCATTTTTATTCTGTTTGTATATGACCCTGCTGAATGTTAATCTTCCAAGATTTTCCTCGATGTCTAGTAAGCCAAAGTGAAAGTAACGCTCTCCCGTCGCAGAATAAGTAAATGTTTCATTACCATTTGTAAACTGTGCCCCTACTAAATCCAATACACTTCTTTGATTCCTTAGAGAAATATTCCTGTAGCTGTTGTACATTCCTTGAAATATACAGGTAGCAGCATCGTACAATGATTTGCTGACGTAATCATATCTTTCCGGTTCGTGGGTTGTTGTGTTATAAGGTCTCACCGTCGAATTGAACACTGGATATAAAACGAAAAGGGATTGATAGGTGTGAGATCCCAAATTTTGCACACCTTTATTGATAATGCTTGTGTTAAAAAACGGAGATCTGGCAGGCAGAAAGTAGACATGACCCACAGTCCCCAGGCTATCTGCAATGTCCATTAGAGACACTGCATCGGTTGGATTCATGGCCAAAATTATGGCTGAAAAATACATAAATAGAACAAAATACATTATATCTGCGATTTTTAAAATAAGAATGCAAGTTATCGAAGAGGGGAAGCAATGGAAAAAAAAACAACTTAATTCTTAGTCTCTTGTATCTTTTTTTATTTTCTCTGAGTTGTGATACCAAATTCCAATCTATATTTTCATTTTTTTAACCTAAATATTTGCATGTCTGATAGATATGTTCTGACCGTATTTCTGTACAGAGCACTCCTTTTAATTATATTTGGTTACATTCTATATTTTGCAAATATAATTAATTTTTTTTTAAGGTAATAATCGATGGAGTGTAATTACATTTTGTCACTTTTCTAAACCTTACGTTAGATAGGAAAGAAAGGTTTGGCAGTTTGAGAGGATGATTTTACAGACGAACAAATAGAGGTCATGCGAATTAATACACATTTATCATGCAGTCACAAACGCTTCCTAAATGAACCTCCTCATTCAATTATAAAAAAAGGTTGTTCCCGGCTTCATATTTTTTTAATTGGTGTTAATAATTGTTGTGCGGAGAGATATTTATGTCTGCTGTTGGATCCAATTCATATTTAATTAATAAAATATTTTTAAAACAATTTTTTTTTCGCTGGAACTAATATTGTATTAAGGAATCTCACTGCTCACAGAAGAGTTCTAATTCCTTTTAGGTTGATGCATTATGGTGATCTAGCCTTTAATGTTAAATGGAATAAAATAGAAATGTATGTAAGTGACACAATTTGAAATATATCGAAGTATTCTGAACATTATATCAGACAAAGATTTGAGTAATTGGAAACATCCTTTGTAATTTTTTTCCCCAAATCAAATAAACAACAGTGATTTAGAACTGTTCACTAATAATTCATTGCCTTTGAACATTTTTTTTCTTGGAGAAATATGACAGATACCCATGCTGAAAATAAATTAAATGCACTCAATATCTACGCTTTTATATAAATAAAATTTTCTAAAAATTTAGTGTTTAGAGCCTCTTTAAAGCCGACAAAATTTTGATAATTAAGCTTTGACATCATTTTGGGTATGGGATTTCTGATCGGTAAGGAATTAAGATGGGTTTAAAAGAAAAAAAAAACATGATAAATATGTGATAAGCGATGCTAATGATAACATGCTACTGTTTAACAAATTTTTTTAACAAATATTTTAATATCCATGTCCTTAACCGAAAATATTTCCTCAGGGACTAGAGACTATCGTCAGATACTTAATTTGCTAAATGTGCAGTCAGATGATTCATTGTGGGAATTTATATCGATTCAAGGGACACGTTGTATCATTACCTTTCTTGTAAATTAGTCATTTCACATTTCCAACATCTCTCTTATTTAATTCTTACACTGTCACAGTCCCCTGATAATATGCAATCTGTCGTGGATTTAAACAGACGATTCTACGGCTCAGAGAAAGATTAAATGGATGTAGAATGTCTGCATGATTCTGAACCCAAAGAAAATCTTAAGATAAATGAACACATTCAGTTGATTGATAAAATATATTTTGTTCGACTTCGTGTACATAAAGCATAACCATATTGTCAGAAATATCACGAATTCACCAAGAAAAGACGTTGTGAAATTGACTCAGCGTAAAATACGATATTATTTATGAGTCTTCTAAGCGCACCTGTCCTCAAGTTAATAACACAGAATCATATAAGGCCAGTAATCTTAATGCTGCAAACTAAATGTCATTGCCCAGAGCTGACCAATTCGGAGGACTTATGATGGACAAACCATGTCTATACAGGAGACCTACTGTACTCCTGGCTTAATGGATCAATCCCGGTATTTTCTTAAATACGATTATTTTGCACATTTCATACTTTTTTAATGAATCGCTTTATGTGCTTTATGTACATATACGGCTTCTATTATTATTTTTTCTTTTTTTAAAGTTTTAGTAAATATTAAATTATATTGAACGGTTTTGAGGTACTTTAGTTTACCTGGATGTCGTTTTATGCATACTACATGTGTTCCTCTTTTTGCCATTTCATGAAAAAAGGAGGCAAAGGCAAGATGAATATATTTAATGAGCTTCTACGTCAGGCTACTCAAAATAATGAATTTCTGACCAAAAGTATTATTATGTCACCCCGAACGAAGTCAAGAGGGCATAATGTTATTTTTCCTTCTACAAAATTGTCTACAGGAGATGTAGCAGATGGCTAAGTCAATATTAATGAAACTTCATAGTAATGATAAGCATATATAATGTGTAGTTGTACATACATCATTAAAAGGCCCATCGTTGCCATGGAAACTGAGGACAGTGGGTTCGGGTCGACATACTCTTTTGTTTGCAAATAGCAAAGTTTCTAGTTTTATCTTTCAATCTTTTACAGAAGCATGGGTGCCTCGAGTTTTTAACACTGGATCAGAAATGAAACATGTAGGATGTGTATAACAAATGCATTTGAAAATACCACGAGCGACATGTATTTTCATATGTTCAACATCTCTTAGTACAGGGTGTTTCATAATATATGTTACATTTTGAATCTTCAATTTGACAAACACAAGAAAAAGATACAGACGAGTGTTTTAATCAATTTGATGCATGTATCCATAAAATGTATTATGTACAATTACCAATTAAAATATTAAACACTGGACGAAATCTCAAACATTGATGAAAATTAGCGAAATTTCAAATTAACTTACATCACTTTTGTTACGTTGAATTTCACAACGTCAAAAGCCCAGATTACATGTTCTAAATGATCTCCACTATTTCAACTACAAATGAAAGTTGTTTCATGAAATTTATATAACCTTGTCACAGTGTTTTGCTTAGACACCCCTCATTTGAAGTTTTATTTTCTTTTGAGCTCATTCAGTATCTGTGGTCTAGGATTGTAGACCCTGTTCCTAAAGAACCTCTACAGAAAAAGGCCCAAAAATTGAGAATGGCAAATGCAGAGGTCAAACTCTTTCCTTGGGGTATAGCATTATTGAAAATTTGTACGCTAATATCTTCACATCATATTTCAAAGTTCAGTAGGTATATGCTGGAAATGCTGATATTGCCAGCATAAATTTCTAAAACATCCATCTGACACTTTTTTCAGGAGTTTGCTAAACTAGGAGTCTCCACTTCACCAATTAAATCTTCGGTTCTTGAAGTCCGTAGGCTTTCTGGAGCACAGTGCCCGTCCCTGTCCTTTAACTTTGTTACTAGCCTTCCTTTATAAGGTATCTTAACCTTATTTTTCTGAAATACTCTTATTTACTTCAAAAGCGAATCTGCACTTTATTCTCTCTAGCTGATGGTATATTTGAGGAGCAAGGATTATTAATACAAATTAAGTGCTTTGTGGCAACGCACTTTGAAAAAATTACACACTTAAAAAAATTATCAAAGTGCGTTAAAATCGGAACAAAATCAACGCACTTTGAGTTAAATTTGGGAAAAATTTTTTTCAAGGTGCGTTAAGAGTGTACATCAACATTTTTTACCATGGAGACACTTAACCCACTTTGAAAAAATATGTATGAAACAAAAATTCTAGACTTAAATTTTAGTGATAGAAGCATTATCTTTCGCAAAACTGTTGAATTTATCCTCATCAATCACGAGGAGAAGACAGATAGAAGGTCCCTTAACCCAACTCTTCATTTTCTACCCAATTATATGTATTTACAAAACTGGTATGACATTGATCTACAATAAATTTTGGTGAGCGTAAAATAAATGAAAAAAATTGAGATGAGCTTTCCTAAAAACACACACACAAAAAATAAACAAAACAAAACAAAAACAAAAAAACGCTTAATTAAAGAAGAGGCTCAGGGGCCATATCGCTGATATAAGCAACAATTAACAACTGACTATACTTTGGCCAAAGTCAAATACAATACAAATCAAAATACAAAAAAAAAATTAAAAATTGTGTGAAACGTATAAATAAATAATTTTTTCATACTTCTTAATACTAATCAAATAACTGTAAAAAGACCATCATATTGCGCGGGAAAATTATCTTTAATGTATACAAACTTGGACCCAAATTTGTCGCATTTCTCGTACCTCTTTGAAAAAAACTAGAAAATTCGAAATACAGTAAAAAGTATAAGGAAGTCCTTAGTAAATTGAATTTTAGTTGTTTTAAAATTGATTGATTGATTGTATGTTGTTTTACCTCACATTCGAGAATTTTTCTCTCATATAGAGACGTCACCATATACCGGTGAAGGGCTTCAAATTTTGACCTTTACTCGGCACTCAAATAAATTACCTTTTAAGACAACCCTAAAAGTTATTTTTAAAAAAGTCTATATCTCAGATCCTGAAGTGACGTAATCCCCGAAAAGTTACCCAAAAATGTTTAAGTAATTATTTATCATAATTCAAATTTGCAAGAATATTGACCAAGCCGTGCACATTTTTTTTTCAAAGTATGTTAATATGGTCGATATTAACGCACTTTCAAAAGAAATATTTTTTCTTTCAAAGTGCGTTAACTTGGTCCCAAATTTAACGCACTTTGAATTTCTTTTTCAAATTAAAGTGCTTAATTTTTCAATGTGCGTTGTAACAGTGCTCCGAATTTATGTGTGTTCGATGATATTATCCATTAAGTTATGCTCCTTTAAATTAAAATGCTACATTAGTTAACGGGGGTTGAAGCACTGTTTACATTTCCAAATTTCTTGGCTTCAGTCTCTTGATATTTTATGTTCAATATTTGGCATGCGATACACTCAACTATGTATACCTTTATTAAAATCTGAAATAAATAAAAAACACGAAAATTCATAGAAATTTGACTTTCAAAAGAGACTGATGGGGAACAACACTCACCCGAGTCACCTTGGATCTTTTGCTCTTCATTAGAAGATGTTTAAAAGTTTTTTTTCCTGTTTTCTCCCATGAAAAGTTTGACCCCCTATTGCTTTCCTCCCCAGCAACCAAACATCCCCACAATATGGAGATGCTTAAAACATGGCCTTAGTGTTCTAGAGAAGCA